GTAAGCATCTTCAAAACAGATTGTTCTGAAGGTGGAACAGCAAGTTCGACTTCTTAGAATTGTGCAGCTAAGTTCAGGAGAGAACTTGTGCTCCATCCTCATTTCGACCTACAATCACTGATACTACATCCAATTTATACAGATGGCTTAAACAGCAGTGGTTTGGTTTGCCTTACTCGTACAGAATCAGGAGACATGAGTTCTACCCTGATTTATTACAGTTTGGGGGCTGTCTCTAGGGACTGCACAGAATGTAAATGTGTGTGTGTGTTGAGTGTTTTCAGGGATTTGGCACTGGGCCAGTGGTTTCCGCCAGAGAAAAAGAAAAACTGCATCTTGACAACATTACCCATCAGCCTGCTGAATAAGTAGGAACTCCTTAATCTCAGCCCTACAGATGCTGTTGGAGCTTGTCCTTTCAGGGACTGGGCGTTCTCTTGCCAGACTATCAGGAGCCTTCAGGTGACACACTATTATAATCACCTTGAATCCTTCCTTACCAAATGAAACCAGTGGATTTTTCTTAGGCCAGTAATTCAGCACACCTCTGTAACCAATACACAATCACATTGTATCCCTCACATTTGTTGACAACTTTTAAAGAGTCTTACTTTTTTAGGGGTGAAATGTGAAGTGGTATTAGTTCAAGATAAACAACAATTATTTGCTAAGACTAAATTCAACACCTCCAAACAGAAAAGGAATGACAATATAGTTACCATGTAGAAATGAAACTCTGAGAAAGAAATGTTGAAAGTTTCAATAACGCAGTGATTTAAATATGTGTGGGGTAATCTTTAGATAGGGCAACAGATAGTGATGTTACTGGAGTAGTAATCCAGAGACATAGGTTCAAAGCCCATGAAATCAGTGACATGAGATCTCAAGTAAAAAAGCTAAAATCTATAACGTTGCCAGTGAAACTACCAGATCATTGTAAAAACCCAGATGGTCCTTTAAATCCTATTTAGGGAAGGAAACTTGCCATCATAGTCTGGTCTGGGCCTTTAGGTGACTCTAGTACCACAGCAATGTGGTTGATTCTTAAATATTTTTTGAAATGGTCCAGCACTTGTATTGATTATCACCTTTGCAAGGGGAACTAGCAAGGGCATGAAATTCTGGCCTTACCAGTGATACACACAGAGTGAATATTTAAGAAAAAGCTTTGAAACATACAGCCTTAGCTATATTTAGGGAGAGGATTGAGTAAACTCAAATCAGTGTCATGTAAAAATTAGGTCCATTAGAGGTGCATTCAGCTGGCAGTTGAAGAAACTTTCAGAGAGAGTAAAGGAACTCCCACTCTCAATAACAGTCAATTCAAGGATGGGCAGACTTCCTGAGGGAGGATCAATATTCCTGAAAGTGCACTGTTTGAACCCTGAAGTTATCTGCTGAATGCTCACTCCTGGTAAATTTTTGCCTAAAGATCTCACACAGATGAACATATGAAATTATTTTTCATCACGTTGAATTGTGGAATTGTTGTGAAGTTATGCTACTTCTGGGGGAGTCTAACGTGTCTGTGGAATCAACAGCTGGCTGCACAAGTGCCATGTGACCATTGAAATGTTAGACACTAACATTTTGGCAAATTCTCCAGTCTCATGTACTGTCCTGCAGTGTGACAAGGTGGGAGGATGCAGCCATAATTCCTAACATAGTTATACTTCCTAACAGGAGATTGTTTGCCCAACCTGCTAACAGCATTGAGTTGCTTTTGTATCAGTGAAGGGCAGTTAGGAGGGGATACAGTGCTGAATCCCACGTCTGACAATTCTCTCAGTTCCAGATAAAGAAACCGCATATTTCGAGCAGCAGATTTATGGAGCTTGAAGGGTGAGAGGTGATGGTCATGTATATTAATATTTTACGCTGTTGCTTTCTGCCAAAAGACACATTTTACAACTTGCAAGGATTTTGCACTAGGCTATGAAACAATGTTATGCACAGCGTTTAATTAGAGATGCTGGGAGTCACAAATCAATTTGAAAATATCGCTCTATACACAGAAACTATAAGAAAAAATCTCAAAATGAAAAGCAATTACTTTTTGTTGAAACTGTACCTGTGGGACCTGTTGATCCAGGTTTTGTTGCAAATCAAACAGCTTACACAGAATGCATTAAAAGAGATCTACTGAGAACTCGCCATGTGCTCTAGTAATCTATGCTAAACTAAGCAGTAGAAATCTGCACAGGTGCGTCACACTAAATAAAAGCTCAGAGACATTTTATGCCTGTACTGTGCCAAATACAAAACAAAGTGTGTCAATTTAAAAAAATACACTCTATGGTGTTACAAAAAAACCCACAAATCTCCAACAATAAACACAGTTACCTGTATTCATTTTTTTCATTGCACTATTCCTCTGGGCAATTCATATAAATAAACATTTAAAACAACACTTTCACTGTTGAGAGAACTCACAAAGTTAACAGAAAACAATACTGTAGGTAGGAAAAGTGCACAAAGTTGTTTTATACATAAAATCTAATTCATATTCTATTTCATTTTAAATAAATTGTCCCAACCAGAACAAAACTCCATTTTAATATTTACAGAACTCGATTTCCCCCTTAAAATGTGTGATTTTGTTTTGAGGAACAGAATGTTGTAACCACCTTTTTTAATATATCAAGCAATACATCAACACACGACACCTACTGTACAGGCACAAGGGCAGATTCTGTCCTATATGTGTAACTAAGGTCACCTGGTCTGTTTATAATAATTACAACATCAAGATTAAAAACACAAGGTCAGTGTTACCATGAAACCCAATTACAGAAAACAATCAACTTTCTTCTAACCTGCTCAGGTTCTGGTTACAGTACTAGATGCAGCATCTCAACAAAGCAATGTTTGATTAGTTAAAAGATCAAAGTAGTTCATATGGCTCAACACTTCGCTATTCCATTGCATCTCCAGGAATATTCATCACCATACAAAAGTTGAGTATAATATAAAGGAATATTTAGTTGCCATTTCAAGTTATTTAATAGTAATTCATTGGCAAACTAATCCTGGCTGCTTAAAAATTGAGTTTATTAAAGGGAGTCCCTTAGGACCACATCTTGCTTGGCAGGCATTTGCTGATTAATTGGATTTTTTCTCTGTAACTGAGGCAATGAGTTTTGCAGCACCAATCGTGAAACTAAATCAGAACATTTATTTCCAGGCTTCTCATCTCAACCTAACAGCCTCAGACATAATCAGTCCTGTGCAGAGTTGGTGAAAGCAGAGAAGGTTTTGCCCAAAGTTTAATTCTTTATATGTGACCTGTGTAACAGTTTCCAGTGGAAACAAATGATTTAAAATAAATTGATTCCTTTTTTTTAAAAACTGAAAGACTTGTTTGGTAAAAGGCAATTATATTTGTTAAACTCCTCCCCTCCTTGCTTTTAAAAAAGTTCTTTATTTCATTGTAATGCACGCCCACAAAATCTCCTTTGTGGCTTCCTGGACCTTACTCCTCAAACTCATAAAACTATCTGTGGATGTGTCAGTCGTTAGCAGCAATATCTACCTCCAGTTAGCAGCGGCCAGAGGAAACCCACAAATACCTAATTTTCTACAAGGCCAATTCCTTGGGTGTTACCATGAGATTCCCACTTTGTTCACTGTGCTGGACTTCCTCTTGAAAATCATGAATATTGGCAAATAAAAGCAAAGTTCTGCAGACACTGGAGATTGGAAATAAAACAGAAAGTGTACTGAAAGAAGAGTCAAAACATTCACTCTGTTTCTCTCTCCACTGATGATGTCAGACCTGCTGAGTTGCTCCATCATTTTCTGTTTTTACTTATGAATTGTTGGCAGCTTTGTTTGTCTGCAGCTGGCAAGGTGACTGATCTAAATCAGTTTGGGAATGTATCACACTAAGCAAGGGTGTGAATGTTAACCTGGACACATTCAGTTTGCCTCGTAGGGTACCAACAGAAAAGAGCCAAGAAGAATTACATTAAAAACAGATAGCTTTTAAAAAAATATACAAACCAGGCTCTAAGGAAATGATCAATTCCTAATTGCAGGCAATAAGGTAACAAATATTTATGGCCTTATAGAAGAACATTTAACTCCTATTTGTTGTTAATTTGTTATCAGAAATTTATAGTACACATACTTAACTGAGCATCCTGGTTTTAATTGGAGGGGCTGAGATAGACTTCCTATTTAAATTCAAAATATTTTAAAGTTTAATTTAATTTAATTTAAACACGTAAAATTTAAAATTTTAAAATCTCAACCCCAGCTACGTTTTTCTTTGTTTTTCCTTCCCAGCTGTCCAAAAGTCATTGATTCAGGATGTACAATTTCACAGGTACCAGCAATGCTGTGTACATCATGTAATTGTACTAGAGACTGGGTGCTCGCAAACCCTTTGAGTGCGGAAGTGGTAGTGTGGGGTACAGTATCAATGCTGAACCCAATCCTGTTCAACTTGATAGCTGTCAGGAATGGGAACCTTGGCTGAATTTGTCCTCCCTCACCCAGGGGTCTCGAGATCGACTGGAGCATCTCTATTTGCACCTAGTGAGACCTGACAGCTCGGCAAAGACTTGCTGACCATTATGGGCTGGTGCCATGTAATGGAGCGCATCGGCCCTCTGATCCACCAAGGACATTAACCCTTAGAGAGTGGAATGTTTCTCAGTGATTACTTAATTCCATGCTTTACAGTAATCACATTGAGGCTGAAAAATGTGAATAAAGCATCTGTTCACACAAGACAAAATAAACTTTAAGCACACTGCCCTTTCCTGCTTTCACCATCAGTGCCAGCTGTGCGTACACAGTCATAAAAATAAACAGCTCATCGTTCCACCATCCATAACAGAAATGTGTAATCAAAAGAGGCCCAGTTTATCATTACTACATCACCCAATCAGGTTAGTTAGTGCTGTTTCCCTAGCATTCATCTATCTTTAGGCTGATAAATTCCTGAATGCACTTCCTGTACTGAAGCTCAGTGGGACTGCTGCTAGGATATTGACCTGGCTGGCCAAATGGGCCTTCAGTCTCCCGCATCTCTTCATTCATTCTTGCCAGTCGCAATCTGTGGGCAAAAAGAGGGAGCAAATTAACATTTCTTGGGCAACAAAAGACCATTCTTCAGAGAGAAAATCTTCTCAAATTGAACCTTAGATTTTATGTTAACATCCTAATTTGGACAGCGGTAATGTGGATCCAATATTCATCACACCCCCCTCTCCATCTGAAACCAGATTCTGACTAAATTCTGACTCAGATTAACCGAATGAATTCCTTGATGTTTTTCTCTAGATAAGTGACTTTAAGATGGTCTTAAACAAGTTTCCTAGTGGGGGGCAAAGCTGTCTAATTGGCTGTCTCACTTTCTGGCCCATGCTTTGTGCATCATTCTGATGAAGGGCTCACTTTAAACATCGAATGTGGCAGGAAACAGGCAACTGGTTACTATATGCTACGCCCAATGTTCTTTACACTGGAGCCAATAGGAATGGAAATGTATGAACCAGGTAAAAACTAGCAACTTCTTAACTACCGAGATAGTAGGAACTGCCGATGCTGGAGAATCTGAGATAAAAAGGTGTAGAGCTGGATGAACACAGCAGGCCAGGCAGCATCAGAGGAGCGGGAAAGCTGACGTTTCGGGTTGAGACCCTTCTTCTGCCTGGCGTGCTGTGTTCATCCAGCTCTACACCTGGTTATTTCAACTTCTTAACCACTGTCTATTTTCTGCCACTGCTGAAAGTTATCAACTCTGTGCCACAGATTTTCTTCTAGATTTCTTACAGTTATTACATTTCACAGAGAGCGGTTTGTGGGTGGAATGAACTTCCAGAAGTAGTGGTGGATGGGAGTATAGTTACAACATTTAGAAGACATTTGGTTAAGTACATGAATAAGAAATGTTTGGAGCAATATGGGCCAAGCTTGGGCAGGTGGGATTAGTTTTATTTGGGATTAAAGTCAGCATGGACTGGTTGGACCGAAGGGTCTGTTTCTGTGCTGTTTGACTCCATGACTCTATGACTCTATTTCACTGTGGACAGCATCAGAACCAAGCCTGATCCTGTCAACATGCAACACTTCCAATTGTCCTCACCTGGATTACAGAATTCAGGCTGAGCTCCACAGTGGCTACATCATGAAGGCCTCCAAGTCTAAGAACCTGCCCAAAATGTGCAAGTACCTCTTAGGCCATAAGAGCATTCAGGGTGTGTCGAGGGAAGGGGCAGACCTGCTGCCCAACTCCTTCCAACCCTGCCTCAGAAGGACCGTGTCTGAGAGAGTTCCTAAAGACAGTCTGCTCACCATGATACCCGACAGACTCAAAGGGAACACGTTTACAGGTCACTGGCCGGAGTCAGAGGTTACCGGTGGAACAGTGGCAAAAATGAATTTAGAAAATACAGTACAATTCATAAACTTTCACTTGAGCAGTACTTGATAATAGTGACCATTTTTATTGTGTGCAATAGAAGTAGAAATGGGAATGTTCGAACAATGGGTTTTAAACAAAAATGTAAAAGAATTCCAGATTTGAAAGGTGGCAACAATTCTCAAACAGCAAGACTGAATACAGGAGAAGGGGGCTTACAGAGTCACTATGTCTGCGTTGGCTGCTTGAACAGCAATGCTGAGTGGATCCTGCCCATCATCGTCCACTGCATTCTGACTGGCTCCTCGTTTGAGAAAAAGACAGACCTGACTGGGGACAGAATTGAGACAAGGTGAGAAAACATCAGCTTCATACAAACTTTCAGAGGCTTACATTTAAATAGCGCCTAGCATATTAAAACTTGCCAAGATGCTCAGCAAGCAGCTGACAAATTTACTGTTCCAAGTACTTGGGGCTGGGTTTGGGTGGGGTGGGGGAGGGGAGGCTGCAAAATCTTAAAAGCCACAATTTGGCAGTTTCAGGGCGCTGTCAGGAAATACATTTTCATGCAAAAGGTAGTGGAAATCTGGAACTCTCTTTTCCAAAAAGCTGTTGAGTTTGGCCGGGTGGGCTGGTGGTGAGGAACGTCAGTTTTGAAAATTTCAAAAACTGAGATTGTTAGGCAAGATTCTGAAGGATGTAACACCCAGGTGGGCAAATGGAGTTAAGATATAGAACAGCCAAGATTTAGCTGAAGCACTGGACAGACCTGAGTGGTTGTGTGGCCTCCTCTTGTTGCTACCTGGGTGGATACATTAATCTGAACTTCATTTCTGACTGACGTAGAGCAATGTGTCAAAGAGTGGCCACGACAGCCTTTCAAAACGTTGCCACAGACTAAATGGGCAGAGTGGTCCCCTTCAATGTTGAAACATTCCACGATTTTATGAACCCATATTTCTTGGGCTGAATCAATTTTTTTCCCCCAAAGTTGCTGTCATCTTCAAACCTGGAAGTTGGGGTGGGGTGGTGGGGGGACAGTGGTGACACTGTGGCTCAGTGGTTAGCACTGCTGGGACCTGGGTTTGATTCCAGCATTGGATGACTGTCTGTGTGGAGTTTGCACATTCTCCCTGTGTCTACATGGTTTTCTGCCGGGTGCTCCAGTTTCCTCCCACAGTCCGAAGGTGTGTAGGTCAGACGGATTGGCCATGGGAAACGCAGGGTTATGGGGATAGGGCAGAATGCTCTTCAGAGGGTCTGTACAGACTCAATGGGCTGAATGGTCTCTTTCTACACTGCAGTGATTCTATGGAGGCTGAAGTAGGGAGTCAGGAGCAGGGGAAAATGTGAAAAAGGTTCAAACGTGGAAAAAGTAGAAAATAAAAATAGAATAAGAGAAAAGCAAAGGATTAAAAAAAACAGGAGGGCATAGAAGATGCATTTTATCATACACCAGGTCTTGATTGCTTAGCCCCACAGTGGTGTTTGTGCAGTTGTATAATTGTAATGTTTCTGACCCAGCACAAAAGCTGAAGTCTGACAAAATCAGAGACCAGAAAGTCCAGGAGCTTCAGAGTAGCATGAAGGGGAAAGAAAAGACAAAAACCAAAGAAAGAGACATTAGGAGGAGTGATCAAAAATATTGTGAGGGATGTGGGTTTGAAGGATGTGCAATAGTGAGGGGAACAAATCCCACTGGGTGTGAACAAGGCACCTGAAGGATCAACAGCTACTGAAAGGAAGAGAAGGTCAGAATCAAAGGAATGGGGAAGGGGCTGGAGGAGGCCAAGACAATGTAAGGAATTCATCATGAGGATATGAATTTTAAATGTGAGGTTCTGAGCACCAGGAGAACTGTGAATCATTGAGGAGAGGCATGGTGAGATCCATACAGCGGAGTTTTCATTTAGTCTATGGAGGATGGAGTTTGGGAGAAAGGCCAGGAGTGTGCTGAAGTCATAGTCCGGAGGGTTGCTGTCCCGTGAGGGAGAGAGACAAACTGGTGGCGGTTTAATTTGAGGATCAAGCAAGGCAAGGAGAGAGTGTGGGGGTCTGTGTGTGTTCAGAAGGCAGCATCATCATGAGCCAGAGGGGGAAACTGAACCTGTGCTGTTGGCATCGCTCTGCATCTCAAACCAGAGACGCAGCCAACTGAGCTAACCAACCCTTTTCAGGGTAAATTGAGTGGAGATACAAGAGCCCTTCACAGTGGAAGAGATAAGGTGTCAGAAACTGGGCAGGACCGAATTGGACGCTGAGGTCACAAAAGGTTCAGCTCAAAGTGGTCATGAAGTGTGGAACAAGCCATTGATAAGGCATCAGTGAGGTCAGTTTTTCCCAAGTTTAATTGAACTAAGTTATAGCTCACCCAGGACTGGACATTAAACAAGTAATCAGGCAACACAGAAGAGGGCAGAAGAGCTTGATAAGGATTAAAGGTTAAAAATATCCTCAAAAGGATTTCAGCTGTTCTCCAAGTTATTATCAGCCTCAGCAGATATACATGTACTCCTTACCCAGTGTGTCCCAGATAGGTGGCATGATGGATCGGCCCACGACCTCGAATATCTTTTTGATTTACATCAGCCCCATTTTGAAGTAGGAATTCACAAGCAACAAGTGAACCCTGTCAAAAACACACAAAGCAAAGAAAAAGATAAGCCTGATGAAATATCACCAATCCAAGCCCAGGAACAATAATCTAATGAATGTGCCCATCTGGTACAGTCTGAGTGGAATGCTCAAAGGTTGCCTGTTTACTTCCCCTCTTTAGCGATAATGTACATTCTGTGACAGCACCTCCCGAACCCACACCCTCCTCCAAGGAGAAGGACAAAAATATGTGAAGGAAGATCGGTGGGACCTACCCCAATGACTGCTTGAATGAGCGGAGTTTTATTCTCATCCTCATCATTGACCCAGTTGACGTCAGCAGCATGGGCCAAGGCCTCAGCCATGACAGCCAGATTGCGAGCTTGTGCTGCCTTATACACAAGGATGCCAGGGTGTAGCTCTCGGAGATCTTCGGAGTCGGAAGCTTCTGCCTCAATCTCTGCCTCACCGCTTGACTCCTCAGAAACCTCACTCACTGTTAACAGAAAAGCAACAGTGAGCCATTTCTCCTCAGCCCAACCTTTCCATTTAATCCTCTCTAGTGGGTGATTAGACCCAAGGGACAGGGGCAGAAATCACAGGGTCCAGTGTTGCTCTGGGCCCCCATTCCCATTCCCAGCCCTCGACTCAAGCACAGCAAACCTCTAGATGCCTGGCCACTGTCATAGGATCCTGATGTATCCACATCACTAGGCACACTATTAGCAGGGCACAGGTTAACATTAATCTGGGGTGGGCGTTCAATGCAATGTATTAGAATGACTTGTCACTAGAGAACACAGCCCAGACATATAGAGCTGTGCAAGATCCTGGATATGCACATGTGCAATCTGATGCAATCTTCCAGCCTTGCATTATTTGCTGAAAACCTTGTCTGAAAGTGGAACACAGCAGCAACCCATCTTTGTGTATCCGGTCTTCAGCCACTTCAGAGAATCATTAGAAAATCATTAAGTGGTAATGGGTTTGCTGGTTACAGGGAATGTGAAGGCAGATGTTACTGCTGGTATTCTACCAGGGATTGACAGAATAAGAGTTTCTGTAGAACTCTATTGATCATTCCAAAATAAAAGGAACAATGATTCCCTTTTAAAAAATTACAAGTTGTTTGCTCCTTTCTGGAAGGTGCATACCCATGTGAGATATTATCCCATAGGCACTGGCAGTTCTCTTAGACACTGTCCCTAGTGGCCAATTGTCTTTATGGGAGCATGAACCATTTAGGTTATTTGGCTTTGGGATGCATCACAATCTACTTTATCCTGTCAAGTCCATTAAAGTACATTTTTCCAGAAGGCCTGTGGTCAGGAATGAGTCTAAACTGGATGTAAATAATCAGGTTTTAAGTCTGAAAAGCCACTTTGAGAATCACATTTATGAGAAAGTTGGTAGGTTCTGATATTGCTGACCGGAGTTGTAGCACATTGAGAGATTTGATTACATTGAGATTGAACATCAATCCTCACGCAGCACTCCTGAGCTGAGCTTGGCAGGAAGAAACTGGAAACAGGACTAACCTTCTTCAGTGACACTGTCCACCACTGTGCCGAATACCAGGATATCGGTGCTGCCATCGGTGCTGCCGCCCAGGCCACTGTCACTGCTTAAACCTGCGGGGCCAGCAGACAGACAGCAAGAGAAACTTCAGTACCTTTAGACTGGCAAAGGAAAGGCAAGGTAACAAGGATCTGTGTGGGACTGCCCCTTAACGAAGATGGCAGGCCATGCAGCATCAGAGGAGCAGGACAGTTGACGTTTAGGGTCGAGACCCTTCTTCTTTTCTGAAGAAGGGTCCTGACCCGAAACGCCAACTTTCCTGATCCTCTGACGCTGCCTGGCCTGGTGTGTTCCTGCAGCTCCTCACTGTGTTATCACCGATTCCAACATTGGCAGTTCTTGCTATCCCTTAGAGAAGGTGTCTTCTTTCTCTCAGAGGATCATGGGGTTTTGGAACTCTTCTCCCTCAGAAGGTAATGGAAGCAGGGCCATTGAATATTTTTAAGATGCAGGTAGATAGACTGTTATTGGGTAAGGAAATTAAAGGTGATTGGGAATAGGTGAGAGTGTGGAATTCAAAGCACTAATTGATCAGTCACAAACTTATTGAAGCTCAGAGAAGGCTCAGGGTGCTGATTGGCCTTCTGTTGCTCCTAATTCGGTACGTTTGAAATCACAATAATGGGGCACAGCTATTAAACTGTATCCTGTATTCAGTCATTGCCGTGTACTTGGTTAGTACTCTAAACGTTTACAGTGCTGTGTACACAGTTCACAAGAGTATACTTACTACGGGGCCCAGCTGTAGTGTCAAAGTATGAAAACAGCGAGTCAAGTTCATCAGGACAAAACAGGGAGTCTCTTCGAAATTTTCTCTCCAGTGCAGCTGCTGCATTTGCCACAATGTAACCAACCCGGGAAGAAAGAAAGTGATGAGTCATTAACGATTGCATACAGACAGAGCAATAAAGCTAATGCTACGAAACTCTCTTCTTTCCTCGGTGCTGAAAGGGGGACAGACTCACATGTGGGACTGCTCCAGGGGAGTATTTACCCTTGAATAACTCACACATGATCAGTCTTCATTCCTGTGTCTGGACAGTGGGTTATTTATTTATGGGGCCATAATTGGAATGTCCTGAGCTGGTCCCTAAATATGGCTTTCATCCTCAAGTGGTCACAAAATGATAACAGATGTTGGGAAGCTTGCCTGATACTTATTTTTGATTTTCTCTTGCCACAGATACCAGTCCCCAGCTGGCATTAGTCAGTTCACTGAGGGCTCAATTTTACACTGGATGATGCATTTAGCTATCCTTTAAATCTACTATAATTTAGAACAATCCATTTTACAGTGAGACTTATTGGAGTACTATGAAGTTTGTATAAAAGGTACAATGTTGTTCCTTGGTCTAGAATTCTTCTTTAGTATTGTGCTCATTAAGGTTTTGAAGGGACTGGATAAAAGAGATGGTTGTTCAGAATAATTCCCTCATCACAGGGTTAAAACAATAGATTTAATCTAGATGCTGATCTGGTGAAGTGGTTGGGGAAGAGGTCTGTATGCTGCATAAGTGATGGTGCAAACTGGTTGGGCTGAATGGCCTGTTTTTGTGCTACAGACTCAGTGAAGTGCCTTTGCCTGTAATAGCTAGAACCTGCAATGTCGACACTAACATGTAGAACAGTTACTTGAACAAGGTGTGGCAGTCAGGTGAGGAGGGAAGAACATCCATTCTTTTTTTTTTCCAAGATATAGACTGCAGCCAAAAAGAATAAAATGTCTTGGCTAATTCTGCTTTCACCTGCTGCGAATGTTGCTGGTGATACACTGCCAGCGTCCTGCCGATACCTCCTGCGTGCTGTCGGAGCTTTGGTGGAACTGTTGTGCCGTCGGCATTTCTTGACACTCCATCGCCGTGGTTTCCGTTCAGTATCTGTGAGTGCGTCGGCATTAGGCAGTTTTTTAAGGAATTTCTTTTCTACGTATTTGGCTTTGATCCAGGCTTCCTTCTGCTGCCTACAACACATTCAAACAAAGGTTTTAGAAACAAAATGAGCCTGCCCATCCACTAGCCATTCGCGGATGGAGAGTATGAGCTTAAAATGTCAGAAATCTGAAAGTATTAAACATTTCTCCAAGAACTTCCTGCAGCTCTGTGGTTGTGCACATTTTCTATTGGGTTATTCCGAGCTGGAACATCCCTGGATAAATTAATGATATGCAACCAATTTGCTAATCACAACAAGGGCATCAGTGGAAGTGCAGGACTCCCCTTTGGTACCTCTGGGCTATGGACAAAAGAAAAAAAATCATCCAGTGTTCTTTCAATAAGGTAAAGGCATTGAGATACAACAGTATGTAATGACCTTTGCCCAGGTTCGAATATTCTCTGCCCAGGTTTATGTTTATCTGGCTACTTGGCTAAGCTATTAGTCAAAAATCCAACCATGGAGGCAAATTCAATCAGGGCTTCCGAAAGGGAGTTAGATAATTGTCTGCAGGGAACAAATTTGCAGGGCTACAGGGAAAAGGAAGGGGAGCAGGACTAATGAAGTTGTTCTTGCAGACAGCCAACTCAGACATGATAGCATCCTCGTGTTCTGTAAACAGTGTATGATTCTGTAGAACACGACTACAGCTAACACCTTCAGGAGCAAATGGGCAAGAAAGGCCCCCATCAAGGATATTTCCGTTCACTGCAGGCTACTGGCTTCTCCGTCACTCCTGCTCAGCCTTGCTTCACTACAGAAGGCAGCCTACAGCAGAACATGATGGATAACGCCAGATTTAGCGCCTCTCCTCTTGTCCAAGGTGGCTCATTGCATTTCTGGAAGGATCTATGAGCTGTAAACATGGCCAGCAGATCCCCACAGTGGCAGACAGATACAAATCAGACAACCCAGAGCCAGCTGGCAAGGAAGCCAACACCATAATGACCTCCAATCCATTGGGAACATAGAGTAAAATTCTTGATGAAGTATGGTACATTGTTGACTTGGAGAATTATTTCAAATGTGACCTTGTACTCGTCGGCTGTGGTTTCTTCAGTCCATATTCCTCACATCTTCCTTCATAAATATGATTAATAGTGTTGTTTCCCAGCTCGCACATCAACTGAAAGTGAGCACATTTTAGATTTAAGCTGTAGAAAATCATTCACAATACAAATAAGGTTGAATCAAATGTGAATCTCATCAAGTGCCAACATTCAAAGTTACCTTAAGTAACTCTGGCTCCCAGGAGTCCAATGTGAGAGAACGAACCTTGGAACACTGGACACCAAGGCTCCTTTTAAAAAAAAGTCCAAAAGGAACAACATTAAAAGCTGATACTTGCAAAGGCAAAACACAGCCCTGTGCTTTACAAATTCATATTTTGGCACTGAATATACAGCGGGAAATCAGGAGGGAGGTCAGAGGTTCTGCATTTTCTGTCCATAATGAATAAAAAATCCTATGGACATGCTGAACTCTCAGCCTGAAATCCTCCCATTGTTTTAGTGCACATGAATTGTGCACTTAGTCTGTGAGGCAATAGAATCACAGATTCAGAGTCATACAGCATGGATACCAGTCCACGCCAACCATGTTCCCAAACTAAACTAGTCCACCTGCCTGTGCTTGACCCATATCCCTCCAAACATTTTCTTTTCATGAACTTTTCCAAATGTCTTCTAAACGTTGTAACTGTACTGCATCCACCGCTTTCTCTGGCAGTTCATTCCATGCACGAACCACTCTGTGTAAAAAAAAAAATTGCCCCTCATGTCCTTTCTAAATCTTTCTCCTCTTATCTTAAAAATATGCCTCCTAGTTTTGAATTCCCCCACTCTAGAGAAAAGGCCCTTGTCATTCACCTTATCTGTGCCCCTCATGATTTTACAAACATCAATAAGGTCACCCCTCAACCTCCTATGCTCCAGTGAAAAAAATCTCGATCTTTCCGGTCTATTTTTGTATTTCAAACCCTCCATTCCCAGCAACATCCTGGTAAATCTTTTCTGAACCCTCTCCAGTTTGATAATACCCTTCCTATACCAGGGCGACCAGAACTGGACACAGTATTGCAGAAGAGGCCTCAATGTCCTTTAAAACCTCAAAATGATGTCCCAACCCCCAAACTCTATGATCTGAGCAATGAAGGCAAGCGTGCTAATCACCTTCTTAACCACCCTGTCTACCTGTGATGCAAATTTCAGCTGGTTCTTTATATTCTGACAGTGTAGAGCTAGGCACTGGTCAAAGGGATGAAAAATGCAACCCCACACCCTCTCAATTAGATGGTCAATTTTGGAAATGAACCAATTACATAACAGGGAGTGAGAGGGTGTAAATCTTTGTTTTGCTGATAGTCAAGAAATTACAATTATAGAAGCATCCAGCGCAGAAGACCATTCAGCTCATTGTGCCCGTTCTGGATTTTTGGTTGTGCTATCCAGACAGTTTCATTCTCTCGCCCTTTCCTCAAAGCCCTGCAAAACATCCCAAGATCAGTTCTCTCTCCTTTCCCTAAGCCTTGTAATCATCCGCATTAGGAATGTAGCATCGAGAAATTTAACACTTTCCCATTTTTTGGAATGTAATTGTCATACTCTCTATTGCACCACTGTGATATGTTAACACCTCCCACCCTAGCCTTCTTGTGGACTCTCTAATAAAGTCACCAGTTTCAGACTGTTGAGGGCCATTTTAATTTGTGTCAGGGATAAAATGGGTGAGAGCAAAGTGGCTAGGTATTAAAAAGTACTCACTTGCAGCTAAATTTTAGCCTGGTTTTGTATCATTAAGAACTGGGTAACGAGGATTGAAAAGCTCACTGCTCTACAACAGTTAGTTTTAAGCAGCCACACACAACATTGTGTCTGGGGAAGATGTAAATCAGTTTATTAATAATGCTGGACTACTGCTGCCCTAGTAGCTTGAAGGGAGCAGCTGGCTACTTAAATTAAGTCCGATATTAAAATCATAAGTAAGTGAAAAATTTATGGATTCCAAAAACAGGAATTACTTCTTACTTAAGACTATTTAATCAAAAAGTGATCAAGGGGTTGTGTTCCAACATATTGTTTGTTTAATATTTTAACTGATTCCAAGGTGATCAGTCATTCTAGGGAAATTAAAACAGCGATTTACATCAGTGTGTCATCAGCAGCTGGGGTATACAGTCTGAAGTATGCTGGAAGCACTGCTCCAGTGTCTCAGGCTGTTGGCAGGTCTATGAAAGCTCTCGGCCTACCAGACTTCTGGTAGGAATACACAACTCATGACCTGATGCTTTGAAAATACAACATTCTGTTCAAAACTCAACAACTTATTGGAAGTAAACAACAAACCACAATTAAAAATATGAAGTAAAAGGTGAGCATGCCACTTTGTTCTTGCCTCATTTTTTGAGCGTATCAATTTTTTACATTTTCCATACAATCACATCTACCTTTACACAAATGTTCCTGTTAAGAAGGTACCTTAATGCCTGCTAATTATTAATTTCTTTTACTCCTTCAATCATCTCTGCGTTCAACACTCTTAAAAAAAAAGGTCATGAGCTTTAGAGCAATTTGAAAGGTGACTTCCAACCAATTGAAAGGTCAAACCTGGCAAAGATTAACATTGGTCCATAAGACATTGGAGTAGAAATAGGCCATTCAGCCCATTGAGTCTGCTCCCCATTCAATGAGATCATGGCTGATCTGATAATCCTTAACTCCACTTTCTTGCCTTTTCTCCAATAACCCTTGATTCCCTTACTGATAAATATCTGGGGGAGTGAGAAATCTGGGAATTTACCTGTGAATTCCAGAGCACTCAATGCAGAGTGTGATCCCAAGGTTGATGCTGGCCCATCGAGGGTCAGCTTGTCCGCAGTCACAGCACTGGTCATTGCCAGCAATGCCCTGCACTCGCTGCAGGATGCTTTCACCCTTCACACTGCGATCCCGGGAGTCACTAGCGGAGTCAATGCTGCTTGTGGATGGAGATGCAGTTCTGTCCAGCCTCTGCCGGGAAGAAACGAGATTCGATTTAACATGGGGTGGGGGGTGGGGTGTGGGGTGTGGCTCAACTGCGTTCCCACATGGAGCTGCACTGGCAGCTAACTCTCATGTTGATCAACTTACAAACAAAGGGCACCGCTCTTCAAACAACCACAACACTTTGCGATGTAACAACGTGATAACATGTTAAATACTTGCAAGGTGTTAATTAAAGAATGTGTTTGTTAACATTAGAAGTCAAATCTGACAAGTAACACCACGAGGAGTGTGTAATTTAGGCTGACATTTCAGTCCAACACTGTGCTGTCAGTGCAGTCTTTTGGCCAACACATTAAATAGAGATCTTGCAAGTAGACACCAAAACGAACCCACTCTTTCCAATTCCCGTTTTCCAACAGCTCATTTTCTGGACAAAAGACTTTCTCTGGTCCATTCAGAGTGGGACTGTGGAAACAGCTGACACTGCATGTTGGAGCTCTGACCAGTGAGTCAGAGGTTTACAGTTAGCAACTCCATTCTGATCTGAGACGCGCGTGTCTGACTGTCAAGACCTGTACCTGGAATACTGGCACTGGGGTGAGAAGCAGATTGAGGATACTGGAGTAAATTAACGGCACTTTGACAGCAAGTCAGAGGTCATGCTGGTTTAACAGAAACATGGATCAGTGTGCAATGCAAAGCACAATGTCGCAAATTTATATAACAACAGAAAATGGTTATCTCGCTAGACATTACCATAGCCTCGAGGAATGGTCTCTGCTGCAGAGGTTGTGTTGAAAGTGGCCTGTTGCAAATGTTCTACTTGTCCCCGTGGAACAAGCACTTGAGGCACACATTGAGGTCAAACTGGGACCAATTGCTGTTGCACGGAGAAAGCTATCTTTACATTAGTAACTGCTTGTAAATCTCTGACTTCTCTCATGGGTGGAGGGGGTGGAGTTATCAAGGGCAACAGGAAAAATCTGTCACCCATACTTAGAATTCAGATGAATGAGTTGCAATGTTTGTTTTTGCTCCTTTACCAATATGAAATTTAAATTGTTCGCTTGCTGGTATAACTTAACAGTTGGCACATTACATCCTTGAGTGCAGTGTAATGTTTGTATGTTGACACCATACATGTCAAATATGATTGAAGAATAACCATCTATTGGACAGGCTAGACTGGGCCTGGGTTTCACATCCTGACAGCACAGTACTGCACTGCAGTGTTAGTCCAGATTTTGACCTTCAGTCTCTGGAGTGGAATCTGAGTCCATTAGTCAGAGTTGGAATAATCAGAATGGAGCCACAGCTGATACCAGGTTGGTTTGTGACATTCTAATGTCTTAATCAGGGAAATAATTGGATGGCAAAGAAACAAAAAAGGTTTCCATCATAGCTGACGTGACCCTTAGTGTGGAACCGCACATCTGAAGGGTTACGCAGGACTTACATTGATGTAGTTGTTATCTGGGCTTTCTCGGTATGCAGTGGCGATGCTGGCCTGCACTGCCTGAATCCAGGCTAGGCGTAACTTTTCCGAGTCTGCCTGCAGCATACAGCTCCTGTAGAAAACAAAGTACATAGTCAGGGAAAGATCTTAAAGACTGGATAATATTTACTCTCTACAAGAGGCCATACTGTTTTTAAGTTCCTTTGTTGCCATCAATAGAACATTCAAAATGATTCCCACACACATGATAAGAACCTTGTGATCGCTTCTTTTGCTGGAAGAGAAAGGAGAAAACTTTACCAATTTTTAAAACTTGATTTGAGAAAATAAAATCCACGAGTTTAAAGCGACTGTCAAGATTATCCTTTCCAGAGTTTGATTAAAAATGTAATCTTTGTCTTAAAATGAAAATCTAATTCACACTGGTTGAGATATGTGATAAAGGGGATAGACATGTCCAACTTGCATTAAGGGTTGACATCTGTACAATTCAGGAAACCGAAAACAAGGAAGCAACATATGTCTGTAAGCCTTGACCAAAATAGCACCCACTGTCAGTATATTAGTACCCAGGGTCTGCAGGTAGGATTTTGATGCATGTCAATGCCCTGAACTTGGGTATACAGGACGCAATTTCAAAGTTTACAGATGATAGGAAACTTGGAAACACAGTAGACCGTGAGGAGGATGGTAGCAAGATAATACTCATTGGTAAAATGGGCAAACATATGGCAGATGAAATTTACACACAGAAATGTAAAGCAATGCATATTGGTAGGAAGAATGAGGAACGGCAAATTAATCAAAGATGTGATTTTAAAGCAGGAACAGAAAGACCTTAAGTGTACATATAAAAATCTCTGTATCATGTCAGAACAGAAGGCATTGAGCATCTCCCTGTCCAAGATGCTTTGACCTGACCCTCACTATTTCGGTTCAATGAGGGAAGTTGTGACTGTGTAAGATTCTGCACAGCAATTGCCATTTCTGCTGTTCACTCACTTGTTTGGAGAGACAACCTCGAAACAAAAGCGCCTCTCGATGTCCTCACAGGGTTTGACGGAACAAAGCCGTAAATCGTCGACCACCACAGTTAATGCATCCTGCATGTTAGGACAGAGCCATCATTAGAAGTGGCTGATGGATCATGGATTGCAGAGAAAGAATGTAATTTCATTCAATTGCTAACTAAATTAGCATCAATAATGATGCACCATCAAAAGCATTAACTAAAGGCTGACCAGTGTGAGATTCAAAAATAGGATGAGAAGATTCCTTTAATGCAATCTCCAATCTATGCTGGTAGCTTCTCTAAGGTGAAGGAACAGCAAGCATACGAGAACTAGCCACTGTAAACTTGGTGGTATAATTGCTCAGGATCATTTTCCAGCGACTGTTACTGACATGCTGACATACTGACCAGGACAGAATTGTGACATTCTGATATTGGTGCAACTTTTGCTCTTCTGCTAATTGCTACATTTAGAAATGTGTTGGACAATGAATTGTTTGCGTATATAATTCCTAAATCGACTGAAACACTCAAAGGCCCTTCAAGGAATGTAATCAGACAAACAGGGACTCCAGTTTAAGGTCACCTGATTAGCAAGATTGTAGGTGCCTAGTTAAAATCATTGGCGCCTAGCAACCCTGAGTAAGATGGGCAGACTTCAGCATCTGTCACTCATCTGCCTTGTTAAATGTTGCTAAGGGGTGAAAGGTGACCCTTGGGAGGGGAGGTGCATCTCTGCATATTGCATCAACAACGCACCTGCATCTGAGTGGCTTGAGGGGAACTGACAACAGCAGATTGTCATTTCGAGCAGGGTACCAGTTTATTCTGTTGCGGGGTGTATTGGGGGGTGTTGGGGGGGGGTGTGGCACACCTTCTGGACACAACCAGCAGTATGGCCATTTCCATTGCCAGTAACCACTAACATCAACAAAACAACTTACACAAGCAAAGCCCCATTTTTAACAAAATAAAATGGCCAAGACTCTTCAGAAATGAAACACAGCTAACTTTCAATGGTATTGTCATCACTGAATCCTGCACTATCAACATCTTGGGGTCACCAATGACCAGAAGCTAAAATGGACCAGACATTATAAATACTGTGGTTACAAGAGGTCAGGAACTGGAAATTTGTGGTGTGTAATACATCTCCTGACTCCTCAAAGCCTTTACACCACCTCCAAGACACAGACTAGGAGTGTGATGGAATATTCTCCACTTGCCCAGATACGTGCAGCTCCCACAACACTCAAGGAGGTCATCACCATCCAGGACAAAGTAGCCTGCTGGGTTGGCACCCATCTATCACCTTAAACATTCACTCCCACCACCACCAATGTCTCTGTCTCAATAAACAACTATCAGACTGTCAACTTCATACCTTCATCTTCTTCTGGTACACCAGCTGACTGTTTTGTATTGAAAACCACCTCCTAAAAGTAAATTTAAGAATAAAACAAAAATCAGTCATATTTCATAATTAAACAAATGTATGGAAACATAAAAAATGTTTCTGATGTATTATAGTTCTCAGGTTACTTTGTAAATAGGCAATTCCACTTAAATTAGTTTCAGAAATAGGTCAGGGTGGGAGTTATAGGATTTCTGATACTATTAGTTAATGGCTGCCTTCTATTAGTGATAACTATATGTCAAGAACAAGAAAACAATGAGCCATCAATTTTCTAAGCCAGCCAGTTACTCATGTCAACAGGATTAATAGGCTGCTGTCTTAGTGGACAGTAGAACAAAGCAACTGTGGGAGTAGACCCCGGTGATAAATGCCATAGGACTCAATTTGACAGCCAAAAGGTAAAAAGGACAAGGCTGAAAAATGTTCCCAGCTATAATCACAAAGATAACTAATGCCCATCTTTTACAGGGATATAAAGAGGAAAAGACTCCCAATGTAAAACTGCACTTCCTGAGAATGCAGACTGGAAACTCAAGTGTGGAAGTCAGAATGAATGACAGCAATTGCTGGAAAAGTTAGAAAATTGGCACTTCTCTTGCTGGACTAATTTATTGACCTTGATCTAGTTGCCTGACCCCACTGGAAACTCTGCCCTACAATATATATCCTGTAACGTGGATTAGTATCTCTTAATATATAGGGTAGCGGCATATATTTGCTATTGTGTTGTCAGTCCCAGCTTTGAGAATCCAATCTCTCCAGCATACGACAGGGAAGCTCATAAATTCCAATGTGACCAGGTGAAAGATATTACACGAGTGAAAGAACTAATTAAGAAAACACACGGAACTGGGAGGGCTTAATGTGGTCATGAGATATTCTTTGAACAGTCTCTAAAGGTGCAAGTAGCTTGAGAGTTTGCCATGCAGGAATTGTAATGTGCAAATCTCCCAGAAGAGTCCAGGATTCACATACAGTGAACACAGTGATGCACTGCCACAGTGCAACATTGTGGGAATTGAGTGAGTACTTGCACCAAAAGTATGCGGTCAGACAAGAAGCTGTGATCAGTTGGGAATTTGGCAGAGTCTTTAAATATCATCAGGAATATTGATCAGCAATTTCTCCTTGGTCCATCCAATAAAAACACTAATTAAAATGGGAATTTCATGACACGGTGGGAATCCGTCTCTGTCTTTGTAATCACTAGGTTTCTTTAAATTGTCTTAAAAATTGGCGTCCATATTTTGATAATATTTCTGCTGGATTGTGGATGGTTACCAGAATTTGAGCACCCGTTAATGTTGAAAACTGATCAGATCAGCATCAAATAGGATACAAAGTGTGAAGAGGGTGGTGAACCTAATATTGTCTATTGCGTTCCATCAGCACTAGCTACTCACTAGGTTGAGAAACATCCAAATTCTCAAAAGTGACACTGCTGTTCATGGTAGAAAGAACAATAAACTGGATTAGCCGAAAGGTATTCTTTAAGTGTATGGCCTTAAACAATGTTTCATGCTACACCGAGTTTTGTACAGAAAAAAGACAACATGAAAATTTATCAAATCCAACTTTGTTGCAGAAACCAGAGATAGGCAACACTCCTAAGGTGCATACTGGTTTCAGGGTGCATTTGTATCATTACTTTAGCCTGCACCAACGCTAAACTCATAAACTAACTACCTTTGGAATCAGTGTATATCAAGCACAGAACTCAAAAGGCTTTTGGCTGATCATTATTGCAACCTAGGCATTAATTGCATCCAATTTAGAACCACTATTAAAAGGACACACCACGTACCGGTTCCAAGTCTTAAAAGCATTGCTTGCTCTCTTGAACAAATAACCTTCCATCACCACTCCATTAGGAGCATCAATATTGAATTCAACTTTGGAATCATCATATGAGAAGTCCTGTGGATTAAAAAAAACATATTTGTGACAAATACAAATACTTTGAAACTCAACCATATAACATTTTGAATCTCAAAGGTTTATGACTTTGATGTCCACTGCTAACATCCAATGTCTTGATTCATCTAAATACTGGAAAGGTGTAGAGTCACAAAGCGCTGTGATTCACTGTAGCTTTGCTCATTATATGACTCATCAGGGATGAGCTCAGTTTCCATATGTACGTTGATAAATTTAGCTCTACTTCTTCACAATAATTGCCATGATGATTTTAGATTGCAAATCTGCTTCTTTAACTGAGAAAATAAGATCTTATCTATCTCACAAAAAATGTAACTCGCCAGCGATTTAATTGCTCTTATCAGCTCTACGCTACAAGCCTGATCATCTATAATGTTGCTGTCCAGGCAGAGCTTTACATCACATCTCATCCATTATTAAGACTGTGATCTTTCAGCTCTGCAACATGACCCACCTCAAATCCTCCTCAGTCCCGACACTTAAAACTTTTATTTGCTTTCAATTTTTCAGGACAACTTCTTTACCAATCTCAGCAGCTTTCCTAACTTCACTCTGCACCGTTCCAACTCATCCAAAACTCCAAAGCCTCACATTTCATCTTGTCCACATTCTGAACCTGTAGTAAGTCCATCTTTTGAAATTCATTGGGCTCCCACCCTGCATCACATTGAATTAAACTGTTAAGTTCTAGTTTGCAATCACGCCATTATCTCTCTATCTTATCTCTGCAGCCTCTTCCAGCCCACAGCCTGCAGTGCTAAATCTGACCTCCTGTACACTCTTATCCTCCTATTTTGCCAAAGTCTTAATTAGGGCTTGCCCGACTCAGATTGCCTTAGTGGTCGCACCTTTGTCATTACATCAAAAGGTTGTAGATTCAAATCCTATTCCAAGATCTAAATGCATAATCAACGTTGACACTTCAGTACATTTGCGAAGGAGTGGTGCATTACTGGAAGTGCCGTCTCTTGGACGAGGCATTAAAGCTCCATGTGCTCAGATTGTCAGGAAAGCTCCAGTGGCATTTTTTTTTGTAGAACAGTAGGGCTGTCTTATCACTAAACAGCCCAGAAATGCAGCTCATACTAACCAATGGGTGTCCTGAGGCCACAAGATGGAGCTATTATTCAGGAATCTACATCATGAAATTGTGGATTGCATTTTAACAATGGTCAGATGGGGCCCCTCTGATAGTTCAGTAGGCGAATAGATTACATGGTGTGGCGTTGACCCTCAAAAACCAGTATGCTCCCACATTCAATCCCCACTATTTACCAGGAGGATGTTCAGACACTACAGACGTAGGGCTAGGAAAGAGAAGAAAAATAAAACAGCAGGGGATTCCTAATAGCTATAACTCAACACAGCCCATGCATGAATATTGGCCAAGGACAGGAATAGGGGCTGGATGTGAGACTACCTGGGGTTGGATGACCTGTGAAAATTCACTGAGGTCTCACAATAGTGAAGTCAGTGAAAAAGCACCCAGCATGAAATGCTAAGCATGAAGAGACATCTGACACAAACAGGGAACCCACATCATTGTTAGAGTAGAAAACAGAAATTCGCAAGTTAATTTTCTAGAATTAGTAAAGGAAGTTGAAACATACAGCATACAGTGAATAGATACAAAACCTGCCAAACCTGCTGGGAGTTGCCTGTAATTACCGAAAAGATTTTGAAATATGTTAATAAATCCGTGTCTGGTCGTGGGTATTTAACTAGATCGAAGGGAAGTCTGACATACAATGAAAAGGGAAATATCCTCTATCCATGGTGCTGAAATCTCAAGGAACATTATTCACTTCGCAGAACATGGCCTGACTGGACCCGTCTGATTAGATATGTCCACAACCCACTCCAAGCATAACTAATGTGAGTTAATCGAATTAAGCATGACCTACAGGAGGGCAAGCTTAATCAATCAGGAGACAAACACTTTACCCTTTACCTTTTCATGTTTTATAAAGGTCAGATTCTTTCAGCTCATGAATTCTGATAGAGAGGTACATATTTTTCAATTTTTGAATTTTTACTTCTTGCCCTGTGGTACTAAGAGTATCTGATTTCACCTCCTCTCTGCCTCCCAGCTCTAACAATTAAAAAGGCAACGGCACCCATCCATCCACCAAGTCATTTTGGTTCAGGCATCAAACAAGATCATTCAGGTCATTCTCACGGTCTATTTTCAAATGGCTTCGGCAGCCTACTCGTGGTCTCACATATTAAATTCACATCACTGGCAAAGTTTAGAAGACGGGGTTGGGAGGGAAACCCTTGTACTTAAAAAATATATCAATCAGTTTCAACTTTACTGCTCAGGACAGTAGCAATGCTCCAAGTACAATGGGGACAGAATGGGAAATAGTGCTGGAGGTAGTTTCAAAGAAGAGCTATCAGTATTGGCCCAGCTAGTTCATCAAGGTAAAGTCTGAGTTTCTATGGGATTTTTCGAGGCGTAAGTCTGATTTCACCAAAAAGGACTAACTTCGTCCTCTGCGACTCAATAAAGTCCCACAATAAACAGCTCTGTGGGTCGACGCTTAACAATACATTCTCGGAACCCCCCTCCCCCCTCCTGACCCCAGGTCCAGATTGGACTCTGAAAGATTGATGCTGTGGGATTTATAGTTTTCACTTCTGCTGCGTGAGCTGGACTCGGGCTAGATATCGATCGTTCACAAAACCGAGGCATGAAATGTTAATTGTGGCTGTAATTTGCAAGCCTGGAATCTGTTTGTTAATAAAGTAATGCCCACTCAAAACAGGTGCTGTGTCTTCAAGTAGCGAGGGGGGAGAGAGAGAGAAAGAGAGCAGGGAATTCACTATTGCCAGATATTGCTTCTGCAGCACTCCTGGACATATTCAATATTCGATTGAAAATCACACCGAAGTCCTCAAAGTTGCCAATTTACACTGAAATATTGACTAAAAATAAAGATGATCTCCGCATACATTACATAACAGCGTCTCCCTCTTGCTCACTCAGACTATGCAATTTACAACATATTCGCCCCCTACATTTAAGTAACGTTAATTCTCTGTCCTCCGCGGATTAGCTACAATTAAATTTTAACGGGCCTCATTTCAACTCTGCTCAACATTTTGAGTTAAAATCTCGCCCCATGTAACTTTGCCAACTCACCAGCGTGTAATCAAGTCTGCCAAAGATCTTCATTTTTTTTTATTATTTCCAAACGGGCCGCGTTAAAACACGCCGCTTTCTTCTTTTAAAAAATTACGATGGAAACCAAACACTGGGAGCTGCACAAAGTTGTTGTTTTAACAATCAGAAATGCATCTCCAAAGATCTTCAGGCAGTGAAACGTTGGTTTCGGCGGGTCAGATTTCACGTTGCAATATTAAACCGGTTGGGCGGTTATTAAAGCCACTCCAAAGTCTTTGGAGGGTCGCTGCTCGCCCTGTTTGTCCCTTTCTGAATGCCTACGCTGCACTGAAGTGTACCATCTGCCCGCTGCTCATGCCTTTAGTCCCACACAATAAGCTGCTGTTAGCATACAGCTGTCACTCTCTTGTCATTGCAACACTGTGGTGGCTTGGAGTTTCAGCCGCTTCCTGCGCTCTCACACCAGTCCCACCCCCAAAGTTTAACTCTTTCTACCCTCTGCTCACCAGCAGCGACTACAATCACCGAATACAACGAGGCCCGAAGGGTTAAAACCAAAATCCAGCTTCACGTGCTGGCAGCCACTAGGAACTCCTCCCCTAGGCAAGCCCGCCCTCCCTCTCTCAGACAGGACGGGAAGTAACACACATGCTCAGCAGCAGCGGTACTGTTTATGGATCCAGGCCTCCATCTGCTTCCTCCTGCTCTGGCATCTTTGCTTATTCAGGCTGACACCAACCGCCCCCAAATTCTTTGTTGCTAAGGAATAAATCATATTGCTTTTGTTTTTGTTTCAGGAAAAGGGCAAAAAAGAAAACCCTTAGGAAACAAACTCAGAGCGCAGAAAACAATCTTTTCAAGGACGAAGACAGGAAGTTAAGGAGAAATTTATGTTATCTTGAACAACAAGTGAACTATCTTCCACGCTAATATTCTTGCCAGCCTGTTTTAAACATTGTGTTGCTTTATGGTCACAACATGTTGAAATATACTTCATTCACTGTGCACTTGGTACCACACACTGACTTTCATTGAGTGCTTCAGGTCCATCACCACCCTGTGGATGTTGGTTCCAGGGAGTGCCAGTGACTTCAATGTGCACAGTAATACTCTGCTTACCCAAAATGATCTGTTTTCTGGTTGTATTACTTTAACTGAATGGCTGCTGCATGGATCCGCTGCCTGCTGTGTGTGAGGAGTGGTGTTATTGATGCACACCACCACTGCCCAGCAACAGAGAGCACATATTTCATCTGCTTTGGTTTCTAAGAAGACCTGATTCTCTCAGACTGGGCAATTTGTCCCAGTGCCCCGATTCTCCTATTGGCCGAAGTGGTAAGACTTCTACCGATAGCACCTCTGTGAAAACAGACATGCACGCTGTGGTCAGAATCACACCATCTCTAGATCGACAGCATTGCCACAAAAGGTAACAATGACACCCATTTAGCAACTTTCTTGTCCTCCGGATGCCCCAAACTCTTGACAACCCAATAAGTCTTTTTCAACTGCACTCACCACTGTTAGCTTGACAGTACAGCAGCCAATTTGCACACAGCATTGTCCCACAGACATGTTTTCATAGAATCTTAGAATCCCTACAGTGTGGAAGCAGGCCATTTTGTCCATGAAGTCTACACAGACCCTCAGAACAGTGTCCCACCCAGACCCACCCCCTATCCTATCTCTGTAACCCTACATTTCCCATGGATAACCCACCTAGTCTGCACATCCCTGGACACTCCAGGCAATTCAGCATGGCCAGTCCAACTAACCTGCACATCTTTGGGCTGTGGGAGGAAACCATAGCACCTAGAGGAAACTCACGGAGACATGGAGAACATGCAAACTC